TCAACAGAAGATGATCCAGGAAGCCAGCAGAAGCGCTGGCAGCTTGCACTCTGTTGCCTAACATGCCAGGTGCCCGTCAGGGCTCAGTCTCACCCCTAATCAGCACTTGCTTCCAGTTTTGGGGCCAGGAGGCTTGGGGCTTTTCCTCTGGAAGCAAGAGGGCAAATCACAGACAGATAACCGGGGGACACTTCACCCAAGATGCTCCGACTTGCTTCAGGGACTCCTTCCTCCCCAGTGTGCTCCGCCCAGGAAGGAACAGCCTTGCTTTGGGTAACAGGCCTGTTCTCTCCTTTCCTCCTCTCCCTTTCTTTCTTTCTCCCTCCCTCTAGAAGCTCCGAGGGCTGGTTGCTGGGCTAACTTACTGGGGCCTTCACCCTTCGCGTTCTGTGCACAGTAGGTCTGGCGGGCCCCTCCCTGGGGCTTCTTCCTGGAGAAGTGCTTGGCATAAATTACCTCATTCATCCCCACAAAAGGGGGAAGTGTGTGAGGTCTGCCAGCTCAGGTCCTGGAGCTGTCAGGGTGGGGCCGGGAATTAGGAGCCTGTGTGCCCCCAGGGGCCAGCCTCCCCCGCAAAAGATCAGAGCAGGAGGGAGGTGGCAGGCGTAGGGTCCAAACCAAAACTCTGCCAGACTTTACGGCTCCAGTCGGTGGTCTGTCTTTTCCAAGCAGAAATGATCATGATCGCGACAAGGATGATGATGACGATAAAATCTGCCAAACCCTCGCCCTCAGGGCGTCCTGTCCAAGTCCAGCTCCGGACCAGGTCTGAGCCTGCCCCTCTGGGTCCTGAGCCCCGGGGTCGGCAGCCTGGAGCTCGTCGGAAGGGCCCAGGGTCCAGAGGCCGTCGGAGGCAGAGGCCAGGGGTGAGCCAAGGCCAGTGGGAAGGCAGAGGGGGGCGGGAGGCCGCTGGGGGGGTCCAAGACCCGCCAGGAGCTCGACCGCCGGAGCGGGCACGGGAAGCGGGGAGACACGAGCGGGAGTCCAGGGGCGAAAGTCGGGGAGCTGGACGAAAGGATTTAGGGGGGCGGGATGCGGGGAAGTGGGATGCGGGAGAGGAGGGACGGAGAGACGGGGCGCGGGCGCGTCGAGGGGGAGGAGGTGAGGGGACGAAGGGGGGCGGAAGGGGCCGGGGGAGG